TATGACCACGAAACGCTTCCAACATGAAGACCCGGGTCCTCTTGCAGGAACCCAGGCGGCCTCGGCAAGCGGAGTGTGCTGAGGGGCTTTAAGGGTTTAGGGTTTAGGAATGAAAATGTAAAGCCTAGGTGTTAGAGGCTTTTTGCTGTCTACCGGGCTTCCATAAGGGGCGTTGATTGAATTCGTGACCATTAGCTGCCATTGCGATTGCTTTCTCCCTTTTCATTCTTTCGTGCTTCTTGTCTCTGTTGCGTTCTGTAATGAGCTCCATGACAGTTGCCCCCATCCAAGCAGTGGTAGAAGCCGAAGCAGCAGCACGGAGTCAGTTGCCGCTAGAGCGGTCGCTGTACGGCGGCCGAGGGCGAAACGGGAGGTTTACATCCACCACTCCTGCCACACCTGCGCCAGGGTTTGGTTTAGTAGTTCAGTCTTTCGGGTAGTCAAGGGGTTTTCAGGTGCCAGAGCTCAAATCTTGGAGTTTAGTGTTTTGGCTTTTACATTCAACGAATCGGGGCTTTCTTGAAATAGGGCTTTGGGTGGTATGTTGTACCACTATTTAGACAGGGTATAAATTTCAGATCCCTGTAGTTCCCTCGGGTCTTCTTGGCTATCCCTCCCACTCTAAGCACCCCAGAAATGGAGAGCCAAAAATGACAAGAAAAGCCAAAGGGAACCCCCAACAGCGCCTGCCCAGGGCCCTACACCCTGAACCCTACACCCTAGACCCATTCAAAAGCCCAAAGCTTAAGAACATATACTGATCGAAACTCTGGCCGCAGAATCGCAGTGGATAGCGACATACATAAACAAATAATAAAAGTAAGAAGATCCAGACATAGGAATACTACGGGCAATATTGATCACAACTTATAATGCACAAGAACAACAATCATGATCATAGTTACGTAGCAATAATCATGACATAGCAATGGAAATAACCAAAACAATAATGCTAACAATCATAACGGCAATCAGAAGAATAAAGAATAATACAACTATTCTTCTTAATAACAATGATAATAACAATAGCCATGATAAGAAGAAGAGTAAGAATCATAGTATTAACAAAAAGAAAAATAATCATGATGATAAGAATAATAATGACAAGAGTAACGATAAGAATAACACCGGCAAGAACACAAAAGAATCGTAAAAACACATTCCCGCGGCCTTCCATGCATTCTGGCAGCGGGCCATTTGCAGCCCAAGGGCCGGACGCCGGCCTCGGTGTAGGGTTTAGGGTTGTCTTTTAGGGTTTAGGGCGCTTAGGGTTGTCTTTTAGGGTTTAGGGTTAAGGATTGTCTTTTTGGGTTTAGGGTTTGGTGGTTTTGGTTTTTTAGGGTTTAGGGTCTTGTAGTTCTGTAGTTTTTTAGGGTTTAGGGTTGAGGGTTTTTTTCTGTGAAGCACCTTCTTCCGTCTGCTGAGGATATAGGGGTTTAGGAATGTTGAGGGGTCCGGAACTCTGAGGTTTGGGGGTTCTGGCTCTTAGGGTTTTAGGGGGTTTCAAAAAAGAACAGTTCGATGGAGGTTCTATAAGAAAAGTCTTTTAGGGCTTTACGAGGGTTTAGGGCTTTGGGGGGGTTAAAAAAATAACAGTTCGATAGAGGTTCTATAAAAAAATCAGTCTTCTAGGGTTTTACAAGGGTGCTACAAGGGGTTCCAGATGGGCTGCCGTAAAGGTTCTATGAAGGATCTTCGGAGCTACAGGGTTTAGGGTTTAGGGGTGTTGG